GTGCCCACGAAACCGTCCGAGAAGGGGGACGATCTGAGATAATCGATTAGTCGCGCTCGATTCTCCCGTCCACTTACAAATTCGAGCCGGGCGAATGTTTTTTCGCGTCCATTCGAATGGGACTTTCTCACCTTCCACGCCGATAGTCCGACGTGTACGTGCCTGTTCTTCCCTGTCGCGATTCGTCACGGCTTATTAAACTTCCCGCCTTTTTAAATCGGAGTGAACGCGATGAGGCGCAACTTCGATCCGATACGAGATATATATATATATACACGTTCCTTGGGTCTCTCGTCGGTGATTTGAACGAGTGGGTGAAGAGGTCGCGTGACGTCGCGTCGATCCATAGCAAAATAAATTTCTTTACCTCGTGATAAGCGAAACAGTAAATTGACGTTTCAACCTTCCTTGAGTTAACCTTCCTGCGATAAATCTCTTGAATTTAACTCAATTTTTCTTAATTCAATTTCGCGTAAAAGTTTTTCATAACGAAAGCGAAACGTAATTCGAAGCTTTTTTCTTTAAACGAATCGTTAGAGAGAAAAAGAATAATAATAAAGATTTACAAAAAAAAAGGGGGGGGGAATCCAAAGAAACGAATAAGGGTAAATAATACCTATTACTACTCTAATGCATTCCTTCAAACGTGATAAACCACCTTCCAATACACGTTCAAACGATGATTAAATACACCCCTTACCTTGCAACCCTCGCACGTGAACGCTCCGAAATGAAAACCGGCCGCCGGCTCGCCGCAGACCTTGCATTGCTGGTTCATCTGCAATTATAGAAATTATATTATTCGAAGGACGTGCGTCATGTCAGTCAGTTAGTCCCATCCTTGGCGAGATAAAGAGACGAGAAGAGGAGGAGGAGGAGGAGGAGGAAGAGGAACAGGGAGTATGGAACGGAGAAGGAAGGAGGGGGCATGGGGGGAGGAGGAGGGATGACGAACCGGTTCTCCACGTTCGCTTCGATTTTTATTCCTCCCACAATATCTTACGGATGTTCCAATGCTATTTGGATTACCGAGAACAGCCTGAAAAATTATTCTCCCCTCTCGCTGAGCCGAGCTTTCTTTACGACCATTATCGCCCCTGACACGGTTCAACGTTGCGCTAATGCCTCGCCCATCCTCCACACACGGCGATCGATTTCTTTTTCAACTTCTCATCCTATCCCATCCTCTTTCCCTTCGTCCTTTCGTCCATTGTGATCTTTGACTCTTCTTCGTGGTTTAAATTTAACGGGTTCAGGTTGTATTTATTTGTCAAATTAGAAAGAAATGCGTAAATGAACATTGAAAAGGACGATAGATAAATTTGTTGTTGGGAAAAGAAAAGTTTGTTGCATATTGTGTACGGTATAATTGTATACGTCATGCAGTTTTTATAGATATACGTAAAAAAGGATTGCTATACGTAAAATTTCGTTTATGCGATATACATCAGTGACATCTATGTGCAAATATGCAACTCTCTTATTTCTATAAATAGTTCATAGAGGGTGGCACTAATCAATAAGCTATTTCCTCATGGATTATAGTTGTTATACCTTTTAAAAGTAACTCAATTTCCCTGATGAATTCCACTACGTGTATCTTTTAAGTATTATTAAAGATAACTTTTCCTTTTTTTTTTTTTTTTGCCTTTCCAATTGCTTCTTTCAATTATAAACGATTTTCTATATGTCTTCCATATTTTCATACATATTTGACACTTAAATGTGGCGCTGTATAATTCTTGAAGAAAAATATTAAAGTTATTTCTAAGGATATATCATTAATATATTCAAATCTTGCGTATTATATTATTCTTATACAACAAGTAAAATATATAAGAATTTTTATAATACGTATATTTAAAAGGGATTAATTTTCCTTTTGTTTTACACTTTTGCATTTCTATTGCACGCATTTTACGAAGCTTTTAACTTTAATCTCTGGTTTCAACTCTAATCTCAACTAATCGCCGCGATATTTACAGAGAATCATTAAAGAGCTTTTTTTCCTTCGACTAGAATCCGATCGAATCCGTTCTTTTTTTACCTCGGTGTCAGCACAGCGAGCCAGATCGAAGCAATGGCGTTCATAAATCAGCGCTATCTCAGGAAAAAGCAATCGCCATCTGTCCTGTGTCAGGGCGATGGTCGCGTTTCTCGGGTAAAACTGGAATAAAATTAGACCATCGATGATCCGATAAGGGAAGCTCACCTACGAGGGGCCTCGAACACACACCTGGCTTCCTCTAATGTCGTAACGCGTTTATCTTGGCCAAAGATGGCCGGTTCAAATCATTCGAACGACGACGGTCGTCGAAGACCTTGCGAAACGCAACACAACCGAACTGTTTTCTAATATGCTGGAAAAGGGGACACATTTAATTACATAATTGTTGTGCCGTGTGGCTTTTTGAAATTCAACCGAGTTGTCGAAGTTTTCCAATTCTAGCCTCGCGATTCAGCTTCTCATTCCTCTTGTTGTCGCCACTTAAAAAAATGACCGTACCGGGAGGAATCATCAGCGAAAAACACGATTGCCTCCATCCAACGCATCGATTCCATCCTATCCTTATTCACGCAACCGCTTATAAACCTCCGATTGATTCACGATGAATGTTTAAAATGGCGGGTATATACTCTCAACTCGTGACACTCGAAGACAAGAAATAGACAAGGTATCGTATTGTATCTCGATCCTTCGAAGGGGGTGGTAATCTCGTGGAAACGCGCCTTTTTTTTTTTTTTTTCTGCGACTCAACGACGAGAATTCAAAATGGCCGTAATTAGTGTCCAGCCAAGCCAACTCTTTCTAATCGTCCCCTCCCCAACGATTGTTCTTCTGAAAGGAAAGGGGCTGGCGCCCGCGAACGGTAGTCGCCGGTATTAAACCGAAACGAGACACGGAGAAACGGTATGAGGCATCGAAGAGAGAGACCGTGAAAGAGGTATGGAGAAAAAGAGGAGTCGACGACTCACGGGTTCGTTAACGTTTCCAAGTTTTTTCCTCGTCGCAGTTGTTTGACGCCCGCTCTTTCTTTCATTCCGCTTGCTGATGAGCCGAGACCATCCTCTTTTCCTTTCCTTCCTCCCTCCCCCTTCCCTGAAGAAACAGACAGCTATAGGTGTCTCTCCCTTTCTTTTTTTTTTTGCCTCTCTCTCTCTCTCTCTCTCTCTCTCTCAT